TACCTCTCGCTACCCACGGAAATCGTAATGCACAGATTATGATTATACTTGAGCTTCTCGACGATTCGCTTCGCCCAGTAGTACCTGTTCTCCACACGACTGAAATCTATGTACAGATCGTTCCGAGATTTTTTCGTTCCGAATATCGTACACCTCGTGACACCTTTCGTAGTCCTCGTACGCTTTCTCGCGATACCACGCGTACACTTTTCGTTTCGCGTGATGGGGCCACTCACGCACGGGCTCTCGGTCGACTGTGACTCCCTGTCTCGCGAAGCGTTCACCAGTTCCACGTATTCCTAGTTCCCGATCGTGTAAAAACTGCACCGGCGATACGTGTCGCACATCGGTCTCTTCATGCGAATCACGGAGAACGCACAGGACATCGAACTCCTCCCAGCTTATAGCCCTTACCCTCTTCATGTCGCTAATGTTTTTTTACGTGCTCTGATTCGTGCACACGCTGCAAGGAATTATCACATACATCCTCACACGGCAGTTGGAGCAGTATCGGCCACTTAGCACTTGTTCGTAATCGATCTTGTGCTTCAACAATAGATTCATTCCGTAAAGCTCAGTGTCCCTCAGCTGAATCATGCAGGAGGCGCATAGGGCCAGAGCACCGCCGGTCGAATAGTAGCACTGGATCATGCAATGCTTGGTACGCTGGGTCAACGCACGGAGTTCCGCCTGCGACACGTATCTCTCCTTGTGCAATGTTAGATCTTCGCTCAGATCACTAACGACACCCGTATCGGACGACAACGTGCCTTCCGATTCATCCTCCACATCAACTTCCACGTCTTCGCGCACTCTATTCGCACGATGAGCCATTTCGCACACACTCGATTTGCTAGACTTCCGAGACACCTTTTGTGACACCCTTTTATACCAGTCACGCGTCTTTGTCTAATCACTCTAAACCAATGTCGGTGCATCTCATTGAGACAATAGAGCAGCCAGATATCGGCGCTTCTCTCAACTACCTCCTCTTCCCCGCAGTATTATTATTATTATTATTATCTCACGGTGTCACGTAGCAAAAAGAACGCCGATGTGCGCACATGGTGCGAAGTCTCGATTCGTCATTTTGCTAGAGCGACAAGTCTCAGTTCGTCATTCAACTGCAAACCGACATGTACCGAAGCAAGTGGTCACCGTCGTCGTCGTCGTCGTCGTTGTCGTCGTCGTCGTCGACGTCGGAACCACCGTTGGTGCCGTCCGATGATGAAGACACGATCGGGCTGTGCAACCTCCTGCAGAGGTGCATTTTACGAGTAAGTATAACTAATCTAGAGAGATTATCTGTCTAGAGATATCTTTTTTTATTCTTTTTTATTCATCTATCATTAGGATCCCCCAGTGTTTTGCTGCGCGAACATCAGCGGTGCCGCGAACAGCGGTGCCGTGAGCAGCGACCTTGAACGCAGAGCCATCGAACGCCGCGTCGCGAAACGACGCTGTATTCGAGGAGGCATCTACGTGCCTCCCTTTAAACGCAACATTCGAGGA